CTAGCTGCTAACACAGCAGCTCAGATGAGAGTCGAAAAACAAGGACGTGGCAATGTGCGGAGGTCATTAGGGACCTTGGCAAGGACAGTCGGCGTGGGGGGGCAGCAGAGTCTGATGAGAAGGGAAATGTCTCCAAGGTTCCTTAGGGCAACCCATATAAGAAACAGACTGTGTGGCCAAATTATCCTCCCAGCTTCCCTAGTATCTGGGACTACAGGCGCACATCACCGCTTTTGGCTAATTTTTGTATTGTTTGTAGAGACGACGTCTCGCTATGTTGCCCAGGCTGGTCTCAAACTCCTGGCTTCCAGCAATCCTCCCACCTGGGCCTCCCTAAGTGCTGGGATTACAGGCATGAGCCACCGATCCCAGACAGAAGTTAACTTCTAAACAGTCGTGGCAGAGGTGAGGGAATGAGCCCTGCAGATGTGAGAGGGAAGGACGTTCTAGGCAGTGGGAACCGCCAGTTCAAAGGTCTCGTGGTGCAAACGTGTCTGGAGACCAGCATGGCCGCAGCACCGTGACCAGGAGGAAGAGTGGGAGGCGGTGAGGTCAGAGAGACCAGGGAGAGGCGGAGCATGGGGGCCTTGTCGGCCATTGCAGAGTCTTTGGCTTTTACTCTGAGTCAACTGGGGGCTATTGGAGGGTTTGAACAGAGGGTCCTGGCTCTGGTGGGGAAACAGGAAGTAGGATTTATTATTGGTAGGCATGAGTAAGGAGGGGTCTGCACAGGGGAAGCCCTCAGAAGCACAGGGGCCAACACTCACCCAGGAGGCCACGACTGGGGCTGCGTTTGACCCCCAACCATGCCAGATGAGGGAGCCGCTTCTCAGCCACCATGTGGGATCAGCTTCATCCGCATTGAACCTGATCAAGGCCCGCTGCGTTGTGCTCTAGATCTTCTGGCAGCCAGGGAACTTGGACTTGGCCCCACGTACGGCCTCAATCACATGCTCATGGTTCTGCTGTTGGTACAGATAGACATGATGACCTGGCCAACGTGAACCCTGGCTGTCACATCCTGGGGCTTTCCAAGGGCACCCCGAATACTTGCCTGGTGTCTAGACCAGAGACAGCACGAGGTCAGAGACACAAATGTCCAGTGGAAAGAAATGTCTCCAAGGTTCCTTAGGGCAACCCATATAAGAAACAGACTGTGTGGCCAGGCATGGGGGCTCACGCCTGTAATCCCAGCACTTTGGGAGGCCAAGGTGGGTGGATCACGTGGTCAGGAGATCGAGACCATCCTGGCTAACATGGTGAAACCCCGTCTCTACTAAAAATACAAAAAAGTTATCCGAGACTGAGCCGTGGTAGATGCTTACATCAGATCGCAAAGAGGGTCAGCTGTGCCTCAGTAATAGCAGAACTCCCTGTTTGGGGCAGTGGTGTGGCCTCCGGGGAGCAGGATTTGAGGACAACCCTGCCATTGTTCAGGGAGGCAGTGTCTGTGGTCAGGAGACACTGGCTGTATCAGGATCCCAGCAGCGTCACTTACTGGCTGATGACCGTGGGCAAATCTTAGTCGACGCTCAGGAAATCTTTGAAAGAATGAATGAGTTTAACTTACTAGTGCGTCTGTTTCTGTCTCTGTAAAGGGGATAGAAAAAGCCAAACTTGGTCGGGCACGATGGCTCATGCCTGTAATCCCAAAGCTTTGGGAGGCCACGGCGAGAGGATCCCTTGAGGCCAGGAGTTCAAGA